CTGCAGCTAGAGATACACATCCTTCATCAGCCACATGCATCCAGTCTGGATACATCGTCCAATTGCTAACTCCAGGCAATTGGGGCAAAGGATTTTAACTTTCCTGCTTGCAAGGCTTGCAAGCCACCCAGCCTCTTCCAGGCTTCTTTCTTTTCTTTCTTGGACGCTTAACCCTCTCCAATCATCTGGCTTGGCTGCGCAAAGCCAGCAACAGCCAGCCTTGGTGTTGTGTTGGGGCACGCCAAACCACTTGCAAAGGTGTTCCCAACCGCCTCTCAATTCAATTAAAGCTGCCCTTGCAGGCATTCTTTTTCCAGCTAAGCAATTTCTGGCTTTATCTTTTTTTGAGTGGAAAGGTGTGCCATCATGTCTTTCTGTTGGGTACTGACCTTCCCCCAGCCTTTGCAGGTTCCAGGCAATGACTGCACGCATTGCTGAAACAGTTTCCTGCCCAGCATTGTACTTGGCCTCAAGACAAGTGATTGGAATTCTTTCTCCTGCGAATGCCTCAGAGCAAGGGAGGTTGAGGGGCCAAAAATCAAGTGTGCTTTGATTCATTTCCATCCTAGATCAATCCAGCATGCTTGGCCCACAGTTTGTGAGGGCAAATGGCTTTGTTAATCTCCTTCAGCTCATCTTCACAGGCTTTCTTGTCATCCTTGACACTAGCCATTTTCTGGCTTAAATCATTAGGCGCTTCCTTCGGCGAAGCAGACAGCGCATCCATCCAATGGACCTTCCTGCTCCCCAGCCTGCGCTCCAAGGAGTTTAGCTCCTCCAAAGTGGCAGTCAGCTGGCTGCTTGGTGACGCCTTCTCCAAAGACTTCTTGAAAAGGAGAAGCTTGTCCTTGCTAGCTGCCAGAGCCTTCACAGGCTTTGAAAAGGTTTCCGCGCATTCCTTCCAAGTTTCCTGCAGTCCTCTTCCTTCGGTGCTCCATCTTCCACAGCCTTTCCAGGCTTGGGCCTTCTGCCAAGCACAACTTGGTTTGTTGTAGGCTCAGCCATCAAGGCTCTTTCCACCCTCTGAAAATCTTCTACCTCCATGTTGTCAACTTTGCAGGCTTTCCCTTTGCAAGCTGTTTCCTTGCCTTTGCCTTGCTGGCTGCTGGCGAATGGTAGCATGTTTTTTGGAAGCACCCACCTTTGCAGGCTTCTTCACAATTGGTTCTTCCACTTCCTCAACCTCTGACAGCTCTGATGCATGGACAACGCCAGAGCTTGACACTGAAACCAGTCTTTGGGTATCTGCAATCTGCTCAGATCCACTCTTCTTAGAGCTGTCGCCAAAAAAACCTGATAGCCTTCACAGGCTTCACAGGCTTGCTTTCAAGCACCTCTGCGCAGGCCTTTGCAGGCTGGCTTCCCTTTGCTTCCGGTGACTGCTTCCCAAACATCCTTTTTGCAGGTTTGGCTCTTCTTCCCTAAAAATCACGTGGAAAAGTGTTTTCAGCACAGGGTCGGTTTTCTCACCAGTTTTCATGTTGCTCTCTTTTTTCTTGAGCCAGGTTTTGTATTCATGTAAATGGTTCACAATTTGCTTGATTTCAGAGCCTTTGAGACTTGGACAGGCTTCTTTGAAAGCCAGCCTCTCTTCAGGCTTCTTGTTTCTGCCGGCCCCATACTACAGAGCCAGGAACGAATTGAGCCTTTTGCAGGCTTGGCAGGCTTGGAATGGGTCTGCTGGAAAATCGCCCACAGTGCAGCAAGGGATGGATCCCTTGATCAAAGCTGACAAGCTTTTCACATGATCGTCCATGGCTCAGGTTGAAAAGAAGCGTGAAAGATCAGAAACTTGAAAAAAACTTAACTGCTAAGTTTCCAGAAGTCAAAAAA